GACTTGGTGTGCATCAATTGCTTCGCCATTTGAAAATCACCAACATGTGACTGGCAGCTGATTGTCAAATTGCGAGTGCAATTTATACAAGATATTGTGCGCCTATTTATCTTTCACAAATTATGCATCACAGAGCAGATCTCTGATGCATGTTTGCTGCTTATATTCTGTTAAATATCCTTTACGCGCTTGAGTGACATTGAGATTGAAATCCCGAAAATAACTCCTTTGATAGCTCTCAAATTCGCACAGTGCATTTCAGCAACGCCTAACTATCTGTTAAATGTAAAATTTTTTCTTATTAGCTAAATTACTCGGAAGTGGGAATCTTTTGAAAATGTCAAAAGCTGGTTCATTCATCCCCTCTCCTTCTCCAGCCCCCTTCCCCTCGTGATTTCAGTAGTACCCACTTGGATGCGAAGGTCAACGAACTTCTCGACATCTGCTGGACTGGAAGTCAAACATTGTAACACACATGTGCAACAGCATGTCGACAATAAAGGTCACGGAATTCACTTTCTGCCTCAGTGATATTACTGTCCCAATGTTTGTAAAAGCTCTAAGTTTGGTGTGCATCTTGATCAAGTGGACCAACGTCTTTTGTAGGAAAAGGGGAATGCAGTGATTAATTTGGGACCACTTTATGCGTGAATACCAGACGTTTCATAAAATAACTAGGATTTAAGCGTTTGTGGAACCCATTTATGTACGCAGCTACTGCTTATGCATCAGCTAGCATTCCACCGTGTAAGGTGTTCACGGTTCAAAAAAGAAGATTTCTAGCCGATATTTCCTTATCAAACACAGAAGTAGCATTCCACAATAACTCAAAGTATGCACTTCGACTAAAGGAGGGATTAGGCAAACTTTCAACATCTCATGGAAACACATACGACCCTCATGCACTAGACAGAAGGGATGATGTGACAAACACAGTGAGACTAACATCTATCAGGAAGGGGATGTAGTACTGCTATATAGGCCAATGCTGCTCCCCGGAGTACACCGCAACTTCCATCATCCATAGGGCAAATACACACTCCGAGTGATGAAAGTTATCACACCAACTAAATACTTCGGCCACAATGCACAATTCCATCCTCAACCAACCACCGTGCATCACACTAAAATGTGGCCTTGCAAAGCTATACCATCTGTCGGTTACGAAGGTGTGGTATGTGCACTAACTAAAATAGCAAGTGCAGACTGCCCATGAGAACAGCATCTGGGGCAGTGTTCAATATATGAAGTGACTTAATGAATACTTTAGGCG